GGGCAGCAGGACAGGGCCCTGTGCCCAAAGGTCATGATACCACCAAGGAGCCCCGCACGCAGAGCCCAAGGCCAGAGCCCTGAGGCCCTGCATGGAGAACAGGCAGCACCAGCAGGATGGATCTGCCAGGAACAAGAGGCAGTGGGGCTGGGGACAAGGCAATGCAATGCCTTCTCTAGGGATAGCACGAGGTGCTCACCACCCCTGAGTCACCTCCAGAACCATGAGGCACAATTGGGTGGACATTTACAGCCACGGACAGAGAGGGACACAAATGTGCCCAAGCACCACAGCCCTGTTCAGCCATGAAGGAGAAGGGCAGCAACATCCCCTTTTTAACTCCTCTGTAGCTCACTTCCACATGTCTCTGTGTCTCTACAACAGCATCACCACTGTTGTCCAAGCCACCACAGTAATAGACAGCCTCATCCTCAGCTTGGACCCCCGTGATTGTTAAGGTGGCCGTGGAGCCAGACTGGGATCCAGAGAATCGCAGAGGGATGCCCGAGGGTCTGTTGTTGTTGTTGTAGATCACAGTGACAGGGCCAGTGCCAGGAACCTTCTGCTGGATCCAGCCATACTGGGTGCTACTCCCAGAGTACGTAATTCATATGTTTTGTGCCACACTCGCTGACACCGAGGGCAGCTGAGTCAGTGCTGCCCGTCCCAGGGAACCTGGAAAGGAAGAGGAGAGAGGGGAGAAGATGGGGGTCAGCCTGTGCCGCAGGAACTCAGCCCTCCCCGGGCAGCAGGACAGAGACCCTGAGACATGGGCGAGCACCGTGAGGAGGAGAGGGGCCACAATGCTATCCCACCAGCTACATGTCCCCACACTGATGGGTGTCTCTCACTGGATCCTGCCTGGAGCACCCAGAGCCCAGAGGGGCTGAGGTGGCACCAGCTACAGACAGCTCTGGACACGTGGCACAGGGCAGCAGTAACACCTTTTTGCCCCCAGCCCCAGACATTGGGTCACATCCCCCCATCCCCACCCTCCTTCCATCTGGTCCAGCTGCAGCCTTGCCCCCTACCTGGTCCTTCTGCCCGGCCCTGCCTTGGGCGAGCAGAGGAGCTGCTGCCCAGCCCCACACCTTCAAGCACTGCCCCACAGCCCAGCGCTCTGCAGACAGGCTCAGGCCTCTCACAGGTGACCCCAGGGCACATCACGGTGCCTGTGGGGCAGCCCCCGTGGACAGGGTCCCTGGGCATGGAGCCGCAAGCTCTCCTAGCCTGCAGCCCTTGGTAGACTGTCATCTGCCCAGGCTTCCCACCAGCAGGGCTTTACTCCCCCAAGCCCCTCAGCCCGGGGTTTGCAGGTGGGGCTTTTTCCTGGCCCCTCGGCTGGCAGCACCGTCTTGCCTTTGCATGAGAGCTCGTACAGAGCCGTGTCAGCTGGACGCCTCCCGGCAGGGAGAAGCCCTGCAGCAGCCACAGCGCATCATGGCAGGTCCAGGGGGAGGTGAGAAGGTGGGGGGAGCTGGTGCCAGTGACAAGGGGGGTTCTGGTGCAGCGAGGAACAAGGGCAGGAGCAGGGCTGTTGGGGGTTGTTCCCTCTCCAAATGACAGGGTACGTGCACAGACCTGGGCTGGGGACACCAGGCACAGTCACCGGCAGCACAGACAGCAAGGGCAGAGCCATGGAGGGGGGCTGCCCCACCATCAAACAGGGACAGCAGAGACTCCTAATTGGCCCCCGCACTGGCAGGAGGTTTTTGCATCACTTCCCCGTTGCTTATGTCACCGTTATAGCTGCTGTCATAGTTACTACAGTAATAGACAGCCTCGTCCTCCGCTTGGACCCCAGTGATGGTTAAGGTGGCCGTGGAGCCAGATTTGGATCCGGAGAATCGAGGAGGGATGCCCGAGGGTCTGTTGCTGTTAGCATAGATCACAGTGACAGGGGCAGTGCCAGGAACCTTCTGCTGGAACCAGCCATAGCTGCTACCCCTCCCGGAGCAGGGGATCTGGGCGGATTCTCCCACGTTTTTCGACACGGAGGGCGGCTGAGTCAGCGCTGGCTGGACCAGGGAACCTAGAGAGGGAGAGGAGAGAGGGGAGATGATGGGGGGCAGCCAGTGGCCCACGAGCACAGCCCTCCCCGGGCAGCAGGATAGGGAATGTCACGGCCAGAGCAAAACAGACATTGACATGGTGATAGGCAAATTTGGGGAGCAGAGCCCAGCTCAACGCACTCCACCATGGAGGCAGCTCTGGTAGCAGCAGAAGCAGATGGTCATCAGTAGCAAAAGGTAGTGGGGTGTGTGATAAGGCCACACTCTGATTTATTTTTTTTTAGGGACAGGGACAACAGTCCAAAGCCACAAAGCCAGGTTCTGTTCTCTGGGACATGAAAGGGAGGACAGTCATAGCCATGGTTGTACAGAAGGGACAGAAACCTGCCCAAGCTCCACATCTGCAACTCCGCTTGGCCAGGAGGGAGAAGGGCAGAAAACATCTGCTGTTAACTCCTCTGTACCTCACTTCCAAGACTCTGTGTGTCACTACACCAGGATCAGTGCTGCTGTCCCAGCTACCACAGTAATAGACAGCCTCGTCCTCGGCTTGGACCCCAGTGATGGTTAAGGTGCCCGTGGTGCCAGATTAGGATCCGGAGAATCGTGGAGGGATGCCCGAGGGTCTCTTGTCGTTAGCATAGATCACAGTGACAGGGCCAGTGCCAGGACCCTTCTGCTGGAACCAGCCATAGTTGTTGCTACTCCCGGAGCAGGTGATCTGGACGGTTTCTCCCACGTTTTTCGACACGGAGGGCGGCTGAGTCAGCGCTGCCTGGACCAGGGAACCTAGAGAGGGAGAGGAGAGAGGGGAGAAGCCCCGGGTCAGCCAGTGCCCCACGAGCACAGCCCTCCCCGGGCAGCAGAATGGGGACAGGGGCCCTGTTCCATAAGGTCCCAACACCACACAGTGACCCAGAGAAACACACAGAGCAGAGGGCCAGAGCATCCCCGCACTGAGGCAAGTGCAGCAGCAAGAGCAGGATGGGGCTACCAGAAGCACGGCATGGTACAGTCGGGATAACATTCACAGCCACATTCTTGGACAGGAACAGGAGCTTGCCCCAGTCCCTCAGACCTGCTCAGCCATGAGTCAAAAGGGCAGAAAACCTCCATACTCATCTCCTCTGTACCTCACTTCCATATGTCTCTGTATTACTACAACAGCATCACTGCTGCTGTCTCTGCTACCACAGTAATAGACAGCCTCGTCCTCCGCTTGGACCCCACTGATGGTTAAGGTGGCCGTGGAGCCAGATGTGGATCCGGAGAATCGCGAAGGGATGCCCGAGGGTCTCTTGTCATTCTGGTAGATCACAGTGACAGGGGCAGTGCCAGGAACTAGTGATACCAGCCATAGTCACTGCTGCTACCCCCGGAGCAGGTGATCTGGACGGTTTCTCCCAGGTTTTTCGACACGGAGGGTGGCTGAGTCAGCGCTGCCTGGACCAGGGAACCTGGAGAGGGAGAGGAGAGAGGGGAGACGATGGGGGTCAGCCAGTGCCCCACGAGCACAGCCCTCCCCGGGCAGCAGGACAGGAATCACCACAGCAGGAGGACAATGGCAGAACAACAGTCACGCGTAAATATGGGGAGAAGAGCACAGCCCAACACATCCCAGCACAGAGGCAGCTCTGGCATCAGCTGGAGGACATGGTCTTCAGTAGCAAGAGGCAGTGGGTGGGTGATAAGGCCGCACTGTGAATTTTGTAGAGAAAAGGACAATGGTCTGCAGGCAGGGGGGAGACAAAGGCAACCTGCAGCTCCCTGGGATGCAGAAGGGAGGACATAAACAGCCATGGCCAGGCAGAGGGGACGGGAACCTGCCTAAGTCCCACAGACAGCCAGGAGAGAGAAGAGCTGAAACCCTTCCTATGATTGTGGAGTCTGTCCTTCATGTCTGTTTACTCATTGTCACCAACCACCGTAGCTGCTGCTGTCGTAGCTACCACAGTAATAGACAGCCTCGTCCTCTGCTTGGACCCCAGTGATGGTTAAGGTGGCCGTGGTGCCAGATGCGGATCCTGAGAATCGTGAAGGGATGCCCGAGGGTCTCTTGTCATTCCAGTAGATCACAGTGACAGGGCCAGTGCCAGGAACCTTCTGCTGGAACCAGCCATAGCTGCTACCACTCCCGGAGCAGGTGATCTGGACAGTTTCTCCCACGCGCCGGAGGGGGGCGGAGTCAGCGCTGCCTGGACCAGGGAACCTGGAGAGGGAGAGGAGAGAGGAGAGAAGATGGGGGTCAGCCAGTGCCCCACGAGCACAGCCCTCCCCAGGCAGCAGGATGGGGAGCAGACCCCTGTACCCAAAGGGGTCTGAGTTCCTGAGTGCAGGAACTCTGCCCAGGGAACCCGAGCCATGGGTGAGCACCTCGAGGAGAAGGGCCCAGACCATGCCTTGATCCCACCAGCACTGTGTCCCCAAGCCAATGGGCTTGTGACATGGACCTAACTTTGGGCCAGCTCCCCAGCCCATGGCACGTCCCCACCTCTTGGCTCTGGGGCTGCAATTTCAGCGAGGCTGGACCCCCCCGGGGGTGATGCACTGGGGGCTCCTGGCACTGCTGGGCTGGGAGGAGAGCGGGGAGGCAACCGGCAGGGCCCTGGGTGCCAGCCAGGGAGTGCAGGGACCTCAGTCCTGCAGCACAGGACCGGGACAGCGCTGCTGGAGGTCATCATGACATTTATTTTTGCCTAGAGGGTGGACAAACGCTGTAATAGGGTTCCTAGAGAGGTGGTCGCTGTCCCAAGCCTGTCAGTGTTATTGAGACATTTGGCAATTCCATTAATAAGAGGCTTTAACTTTTGATCAGCCCTGAAGTGGTCAGGCAGTTTGACTAGATGACCGTTGGAGGTCCCTTTGCACAATAATATGCTATCCTGTCCTATCCTGTCCCATCCCACCCAATCCAATCCCATCCCATCCCTTCTCCTCCTCAGATGACAGGTGATGGGCACAGAACTGGGGCTCGAAAGCACAGCCGAGCCAGGACAGCGAGCACAGTCACCTGCAGCACAGGCAGCACAGACAGGGCCATGGCAGGGACCTGCCCCACTATCAGGCAGGAGCAGCAGAGACTCCAAACTGGCCCATGCACTGGCGGGAGGCTTTTGTCTCACTTCCCCATTGCTCCACGTCACTGTGGAACCAACATAGCTGCTGCTGTCGTAGCTACCACAGTAATAGACAGCCTCGTCCTCAGCTTGGACCCCAGTGATGGTTAAGGTGGCCGTGGAGCCAGATAAGGATCCGGAGAATCACAGAGGGATGCCCGAGGGTCTGTTGCTGTTACTGTAGATCACAGTGACAGGGGCAGTGCCAGGTTCCTTCTGCTGGAACCAGCCAGCATAGCTGTTAACCCCAGAGCAGGTGATCTGGACGGTTTCTCCCAGGTTTTTCGACACAGAGGGCGGCTGAGTCACTGCTGCCTGGACCAGGGAACCTGGAGAGGGAGAGGAGAGAGGGGAGAAGACCCAGGTCAGCCAGTGCCCCACGAGCACAGCCCTCCCCGGGCAGCAGGACGGTGCCCTGTGCCCAATGGCCCCGGCTGCACCAGGGCACGTGAGATATAGGGAAGCACTGTGAGGAGGAGAGGGACCCAGGCGACGACGCGATCCCACCAGCTATGTGTTCCCACACTGATGGGTGTCTCTCACTGGACCCTGCCTGGACCACCCAGAGCCCAGAGGGGCCGGGGCGGCACCAGCTACAGACAGCTCTGGACACGTGGCACAGGGCAGCAGCAACGCCTTTCTCCCCCCAGCCGCACACGTCAGCACACATCGCCCCATTCCTGCCCTCCTTCCATCTGGTCCAGCTGCAGCCTTTCCCCCTACTCCGACAAATACAGGGTCAGCAGGGAATGGCTGGAGAGCAGCCCTGAGGAGAAGGACCTGGGCGTGCTGATTGATGAGAAGCTCAACATGAGCCGGCAATGTGCCATCGCAGCCCAGAAGGCCAACCATATCCTGGGCTGCATCACAAGTGTGGCCAGCAGGGTGAGGGACGTGATTCTGCCCTTTTACTCCACTCTCATGAGACCCCATCTGAAGTACTGCTTCCAGCTCTGGAGCCCCCAACATAAAAAGGACATGGAGCTGTTGGAGCAGGTCCAGAGGAGGGCTACAAAGATGGTCAGAGGGATGGAGCGCCTCTCCTATGAGGAAAGGCTGAGAGAGCTGGGGTTATTCAGCGTGGAGAAGAGAAGTCTCCCGGGAGACCTTATTGCGGCCTTCTGGTACGTAAAGGGGCTACAGGAGAGCTGAGGAGGGACTTTTTAAAAGGGCATATAGTGGTAGGATGAGGGGGAATGACTGTGGTGCAGGGCCACACTGACACCGTGTGGGGACAAGAAGGACCTCAGGGACAGCACCCGAGGAACCGAGAGCAGAACCCAGCACAGGACTCTGCCCACGCTGACCCTCAGCCCTACCAGAGATACCACCGAGTCAAGAGACATCTCCAGCCCCTACCACAGCCTCCGCGGTACCTGCAGGGGACCCTACACAACGGGACAGCCTCTCGCACAGACACGGGGGCCCTTGGGCACCGATGCTCTCACCGGAGGAGGGTGGGCATCAGCCCTGAACTGTCAGGGAGCCCAGAGGAGGACACCAGACATGATGACAGGGTTTCTCCCAGCTTCTCTGGGCCAGAGGACCAGCCACAGATTGAGACATTTTGAGGGCAAGAGCAACCTGCTGCACCACAGGTCTGCATTACCAGTAGCTGCGTTACTTCCACATCCTCCAGCAGCACCATCAGGATTGCTGCCACCACGGAACAACAGACAGTAATAGTCAACCAGAGCACCCACCCATGGCCACACTGGGGGGCTCCTGGATGCTGATCAGCACTGCCGTCCTGGGTACCACAGTAATAGACAGCCTCGTCCTCCGCTTGGACCCCAGTGATGGTTAAGGTGGCCGTGGAGCCAGATTTGGATCCGGAGAATCGCGGAGGGATGCCCGAGGGTCTCTTCGTGTTATCATAGATCACAGTGACAGGGCCAGCGCCAGGTTCCTTCTGCTGGTACCAGCCATAGTAGCCGCTGCTACTCCCAGAGCAAGTGGTCTGGACGGG